AGGAGACATGGCAGCGTTTACTAAAAGCTGCAGAAACCAAACGCTGAAGAAGCTCAAAACACAACGGAGACCAGGGGACACTAAAGAGAGACGCACACAGCTGGGAAACCAGGGGACACTAAAGAGTGACGCACACAGCTGGGAGACCAGGGGACACTAAAGAGTGACGCACACAGCTGGGAGACCAGGGGACACTAAAGAGTGACGCACACAGCTGGGAGACCAGGGGACACTAAAGAGTGACGCACACAGCTGGGACACTAAAGGGGACACTAAAGAGTGACGCACACAGCTGGAGACCAGGGGACACTAAAGAGTGACGCACACAGCTGGGAGACCAGGGGACACTAAAGAGTGACGCACACAGCTGGGAGACCAGGGGACACTAAAGAGTGACGCACACAGCTGGGAGACCAGGGGACACTAAAGAGTGACGCACACAGCTGGGAGACCAGGGGACACTAAAGAGTGACGCACACAGCTGGGAGACCAGGGGACACTAAAGAGTGACGCACACAGCTGGGAGACCAGGGGACACTAAAGAGTGACGCACACAGCTGGGAGACCAGGGGACACTAAAGAGTGACGCACACAGCTGGGAGACCAGGGGACACTAAAGAGTGACGCACACAGCTGGGAGACCAGGGGACACTAAAGAGTGACGCACACAGCTGGGAGACCAGGGGACAATAAAGAGCGACGCACACAGCTGAGCTTCTTGCAGTGTTTGCTTTCTGCAGCGTGTGTGAGCATGTCTCCTCAAGCTGCTGAATGTTCTCTAAACGTGTTGTTGCTGAAGACGTTTCTTCAGGTGGAACATTTGTGTTTTTATATCTGCATCGTGAAACGTCAGAAACTCCTCCGTGTTTTCGTACCTTGGTGGGGAAGTACCGTTTGGTCTTGAACTGTTTGAGGAAGGAGGAGAGGAAGAAGGTGGTGAAGAAGAGGATGACGGACCAGAAGAGGACGTCGGGGACGTAGGGGCCGAGGGGGCCACAAGCCGAGCCCTCAAACACCCCCCCGAACTCCTTACAGTCCTGCAGAGGGATAAACACATGCACTGTAACATGCACTCATGTTGTACACACTGCAGGTGAGTAATGATGCAAGTGAGGCTTTATGTGATAGGGTGAATTTAGGAGAGACGGACACAAACAGACAGAGTTCGACTCCTGGATGTGGGTTTATTTTAGTTTTCACCAGCCTGAAAGAAGATAATCTATATGTTATAAATATTTGATGTCCTACCTTCACCGTCAGCTCGTCCCAGCGGATGTTTTCTGAGGTAGCGTTTGTGTTGCTCCACTGATGCAGGGTGTCTGTGGAGGCGTTGGCAGGAGGAGAGCAGCGGCACCTGCAACAGGACCAGGTTCACATTAAGCATACTGGATTCTGATAGAGAAACAAGCTATGTTCACCAAATAGCATTCTAACATCAAACTGCTTTATTCTGTGTCGTGAACTCTTTTAATCAAAGTGTCCGTTTGCTTTTTAGTTGAGGAGATTTATGAGGATGTTTGGCTCAAGGTAAACAAACTCCTGAACATCTGGATCCTAAATTATCAGAGAAACAAGCTGAGCAAACGATAGAATAGTCAGCAGCCACTCAATCCTTAGGAAAGCTGATTGCATTGGAAAAATACTGAATTTCTGAACCCATTTTAATCACTGTATCAACTTTTTCTCTAGAAGAGCAGACCTCTGCAGATAATTTGGCTTCTGGTAAAATCCTCCTGAGGGTCTGGAAGTTATCAGAGAAACAATCTGAGCAAAGGCTAGCAGTTAGCTCGCAAAACCTCCCTCCTAAGTCTGGCAAACTGTCGAAAAAACACCGATTGTTTACGTGAAACGGCTTTGTTCAGTGTTTTGACGGCTTATATACAGTCAGTTTATTTTCGATAATTCGGTTTCAAGTTAAACCCCCTTGAACATCCTGATCTTAAGTTATCAGACAAGCAAGCCGAGCAAGCTTTAGCAGTAGGTTTGCAGACAATCAATCCTATGCACAACCAAATTGCATTGAAAAAACAGATTTTCTACTTGAAACGGCTTCATTCCGTGTTTTGTCCCGGTTTTAATCACCATGTCTGTTTCACAGAGGAACAGACAGCGGGTAATTCAGCTTTGATTGTGAGACCCCTAGAGGCAGAAACAAGTCATGATGCGTGTTAGTCCGTCCTCACGTGTATAAGGTGAGGTTGTCCAGCTGGTTGTGCATGTTGATGGGAAACTGCTTCCCGAGGTGCACCAGCTTCTGCAGAGCCTCGTAGATGAAGATGATGCAGATGAGGGAAGCGAAGGCCTCCTCGGTGAAGCGGGTGATGTAGCAGACCATGGAGCTGGCGTCGGTGGCGACCAACAGCAGGCAGAGGAAGGCCGTCCAGAGCCCGATGCTGGTGCGCAGAGACAGGTAGCACAGGCCGTAATCACTGCGGAAACACAGGAGGGGGCCGTACGCGTTTTAATGATTCAAACACTTCAAACGCTTTATCGGCATACGCACAGTAGCTGCAGAGTAGATGTGGCAATGGAAATCTGAAGTGCCAGGCTCGTCAAACAATACAACATCAATATATAATATATATATAATAGATATATATTAGATATATAATCCGGCAGTGGCTCAGTCAGTAGGGGCTTGGACTGTGAGCCATAGGGTCACCGGTTCAAGTCCCCGACCAGACCTAAATATGGAGTGTGGACTGCTACTTGGAGAGGTCCCAGTTCACCTCCTGCCCTGCCATGGTGCTCTTGAGCAAGGCACTGGACATCCCCCTTGGACATCCCCCTTCCCCCCTCACTCCCATTGCTCCCCGGGCGCTGTACAATAGCTGCCCACTGCTCCTAGTACTAGACTCCCGGTAGTAGGATGGGTTAAAAGCAGAGAACACATTCCCAACTGTGTGTGCTGTGTGCCCCTGCATGTGTGACCATTAAAGAGGGTTTTCATCCCTCCCAATTCTATTCTATTCAAATGAATGAACCACCCCCTTCTAGAGTGGCTTTGAGAGAATCACTACTGTAGAAAAGTAAAAGAGGAAGGAAAAAGAAAGAGCT